AAACATCACATGAAGATGAGTTAGATGACTCAAAATATAAATGCATGCACTATAGAAAATTAAAATTATAACAATCCCCATTCTATTTGTCTCTTCACAATGAACATCATGCACATCACCAAGGCAACAGATCACCATGGCAACATATGCATATTGTACGTAGGCTTGAGTGTGATTGCTTTTAGTTTAGCTATTCCAGTGAAATTACTGTCAGTTGCTGCTGCTGTGTAATAAAATAAATCATATTGTTATTTAGTATGAAGTGGAGTAGGAACAAAACTTACTTTGGGGGAGCTAAATTTATGACTCATGTCACAGTTGTTTAATAATTACTGCCAGTTTGAGTGACAGAAACATTTATCAACTTGTTGTTTTCAATCTACATTCTTAACTAAAAAACTTTATCTGAGCTCTTGACATGATTGTAACAGTTGCTTCATTCTTAAAAGTTTTATGAGTCTCATTAACCCATTCCCAATTACTGAAGATGACAATCATCATGACAATATGGAATTGAATTTGCTTCTGCAAGCAAAAATGCAGAAAAGTGGGAGTAGCTGCTTATTAATTAAAGAGGTGTGGCTTTACAGTTTACCCACGTGGTCTTGGCACACTCAAGCATGTTTGCCAGTAAATACAATCCAATGACTGGTAAGAATGAATGGATAGTCACTAATAAAGATTATGATGATATGGAGACTGATCTATCACAAGAATTCTCAAGGTAATTTTAATTAATTATTATTAATTTATTATTATTAATTAGGTCACATTATGGTGACACGGTTCACGACACGGAGAGAGTGAGGATAATTTTAAGGTGTAATTTTAATATTTCCGCTATTGCCCTTTAATTAAAATGAGAAATACTATTACGGGTTACATTGGGCGATATGTCACTGGGAATCAAAAGGGGTGGAGCCACGGGTCCTTGATATTGGAACTGGTACTGGACTACTGGCAATGATGGCTGGAAGATGGGGGGCAACTAATATAACAGCATGTGAAGTAAAGTTAATAATTAATATTTAATAATAATTAATTAATATAAGTTAATTGTGTATTTATTATTAATAGGTTTAGTTTAATTAATTAGGTTTTGTCTCCGATGGTCAAAATTGCTAAAGAGGTTGTGAAAGTGAACGGATACGATAAAGTGATAAAAATAATTAATAAACGATCAACTGAACTAACAGTAGGACTTGGTAATAATAATAATAATAATAATAATAATGATAATAATAATGATAATAATAATAATAATAATGAATATATACATGTTCATATACCTTGTTTATTAGTCTGTAGTTTGTGTTTGTTAATATTCTTCTCATTAAACTCATTTTTATTTGCTAAAAGGAAAAAATAGGTGTGGTTGATGAGAGGTGATGATGACTGGTTAGTTAACTATTGTTTAATAACTACTTACTTGCACATGTGCAAAAACGTGGCTTTTGATAATGATTCACTCTAAATTACCTGTGAGAGTAAGTTGTGTTGATTTTTGTTTGACAGTTTGTTTTTTAATGTTATCATGAACAAAACTAATGACTACAGCAGCAAGATAAAACTAAAATAATATCAACAACTCGCTAAATCCAAAATAGTATAGGGGCAAAACAAATTAATAAGCAGTTTTATACTAATGATATTGTTCTCAGCCAGTGACACTAGTTATTAAACTGACTACAATACCAACAAAACCAAAGGCAATAGACAAATAAGCAATGTTCAAGTTAAAAGTTATACTGGCACACATTATACGGAACCTGAAGCTAAACTTCCTCCTCTTCATAGAGCCAACGAACTCTGGTATTACACCTTCAGGGAGATTAGTAAACTTATCTTCATCACTAATCTGCTGCATAACACGCTGCCTTGTCCTGGTGACACCAGCAGCCCTGAGACATGGATAAACTAGTAAGAAACCTTGTACCAGACTATACATGAATAGGAATATTATCTGAATTGAGTTAAAGTCTACTCCATGCTCTACATGTGGTACATTGTACTTAACATGAAGTGCCACTGCATCAATAAGTACAGTGAATATCATGAAGGTTGATATTATATGGAGTAGCCAATGGAGTAGGAACCATAACTGAAACCAGCTAAGTGTTGCTATTGCTGTTTTAATGAAATGTTTGTCACGTTCCCTAAGATACTTTAAAGCTAATGCTTTCTTGCCATCATCATCATCTTGAGTTACCTTGATGTATCCTTTGATCAATTCCTTCATAGCATAGGCATAGCTAGCAACTTGAATTTTCATTCTTTCATCTTGTATGATGTAATGCTGCTCTCTAATGTCATTACGATCTACACTGTTTATTCCATCTATAACATATTCTTTAATTTTTTTCAAAGAAGCATTGTTGCAGCAAGTATTGTCAGTGTACTTACTATGTGGACTATTAACACGGGTTTTAATGGCCTCTTTTATTTGATTACTTGATGCCTTCACTTCAGCATTTTCATTGAACTCCTTCAAAAAACCACCAGCCAGCTTCTCCGCTAAACTAGCAATATTATTACCAGATGATTTAACAAATTTTAGCATTTCAGTAGCTGCTGTTTTAAGCTCAGACTCAAATATCGTTTCTACATATTTCTTTATTTTGTCATTAGTCTCATTGATGTTGTCATTAGTGTAATATACATACATTTCTATTTCTTCACATTTTCTCTGTATAGCGTACATCAACTTTGAGAATATGAAGCAACTGACAATAGTACGGACTAATGATAATGCGTAACAGGAAGTAGCAACAAATTCCAGCCAATTAATTGTTATTTCATTGAAATAATATTGAATTAAAAGAAAGAAAATACTGATTGCCACAATCATTACCAATCCAATAGCAAACCATGTGTTGTAATGGCCTAATCTCTCACCTTGAAGTAATGTACTGGTACTGGTGTCTTGTTGGGAGAAAAAGTTATTTTCTTGTTGATCCGCATGAGGCCCTGGTTCCGCCTGAGGGTTTTCTAATATTATAACTTGTTCAAGTTCATGTTGATACACAACAGCAATTGAAGTAGATTCAATAAATTCATTTTCATAATCATCATTAAAAGGATCTAATGGTATCACTTTCTTATCATCAGTTTGTTTATCTCTTGTGCAACAGCAATACAGTTTGAATTTCTTCCACCAGCTCAACTTCATCTCACGTGACCAATTGTAATGTTTAAGAAATAGACAAACCAGTGCCAATATGAAGAACAGTTGTGACACTCCATTAGCTGTTGTTGAGAACAATATAGCTATCTTAGTAAGGTCAATGAATTTTTGCACATGATGTGTGTTATTAGCATGTATCAACTCATCTAATGAAAAAAGTAATGAAACATAAAAGTGACAAGTAATGTATAGCAATAAATATTATTTGCATGATGTTAAAAGATATCAGAGCGTGGCTTAAAAATTTGATACTGCTTGTTTGTTATTTTTGGGCATATGCAACCTGAGATCTATATAATATGTTTTGTTCATATGAGCATCAATCAGAGACAGCTCTGCTGCATGACTAATAGGAGTAGGTGCATTGGCTTCTAGATTTTTTGTAAGTTTTAACTTGTACAAAAGAACTAGCTTGACTCATTTTGTTTGCCCCAGTGTTAATAAAAAAATTTACTATTTTTCATCTCATGCAGTCCTTACCTCCAGTCTCTCTCAATATGATATCAACTCCAGTAGTATCTTCATTTGTGGCAATAGTAAAACAAATTGACCTTGATCCTTCACTGTATCTGTATGGACATGTAGCCCACCCAGCAATGAATGCACTAGTAGGATATACACTGATGGGAATAACCAGTAATACTGATAGTACAATTGTAATATACAGCATCACAATACTGCAATTTTTACAAGATCTTTTATAAGTACAGCAGCTACAGCTTCTGGCATCATTTTCCTCATCTTCATTTTCCTCATGATCCTCATCATCCTCCACATGCGGGATGGATCTTATTCGGTAAGGCTGGCTACGTGAGACTTCCAGATGAGCTGGTTTGATGTATTGGCAAGTGATAAAACTAAGAATTGCCAAGAGTCCAGGTATGCAGTAAGTAGTACAGGCTGAAACCAAATACAAATTAAGTATTATGGCAAGTGCACTTACCACGGTTCCATTTTTCCCTAATGTAATGGAATACAAAATAATTGTATTATTAAATAATGCTTACCAGCACATATTGAACAAAAGACTTAAGTAGCTAATGCCCAGGATGAGTCACTAATAGCTAAGCTAAATTGAGGATTGCTAACTGTCAATTGTTTTATCAGAGATAAATGACCCAACCTTGTTGTTAATAACTAGCAGCTGCTGCTAACATTTCAATGGCGAAAAAGTTTGAACCTGCGCAAAACTTTGTGGGACTAATGCTCCAACTGTAGGGGGGTAGGCAGTTCACTGATTACTTAAAAGCAACCAGCACATGTAGCTACAGCGGAACAGACTATTTTTGGTTGATTATTCTACCGAAAGGAGCAATAAAACCGGAAAATGTAAAATCGAGGTGTTGTACTTTGTGGGACTCGTTCTTTTGATCTCATCATCAGACCTATTGTTTGATACTTGCATATGATGAAGAAATTTTTTCCACTA